GAGAAATGCAAATTAAAACCACAATGAGATATCACCTCACACCAGTAAGGATGGCTACCATCCAAAAGACAAACAACAACAAATATTGGCGAGGTTGTGGAGAAAGGGGAACCCTCCTACACTGCTGGTGGAATGTAAATTGGTTCAACCATTGTGGAAAGCAGTATGGAGGTTCCTCAAAATGCTCAAAATAGACTTACCATTTGACCCAGGAATTCCACTTCTAGGAATTTACCCTAAGGATGCAGCAGCCCAGTTTGGAAGAGACAGATGCACCCCTAATGTTTATCGTAGCACTATTTACAATAGCCAAGAAATGGAAGCAACCTAAGTGTCCATCAGTAGATGAATGGATAAAGAAGATGTGGTACATATACGCAATGGAATATTATTCAGTCATAAGAAGAAAACAAATCCTATCGTTTGCAACAACATGGGTGGAGCTAGAGGGTATTATGCTCAGTGAAATAAGCCAAGCGGAGAAAGACAAATACCAAATGACTTCACTCACATGTGGAGTATAAGAACAAAGAAAAACTAAAGGAACAAAACAGCAGCAGAATCACAGAACCCAAAAATGGACTAATAGCTACCAAAGGGGAAGGGACTGGGGAGAATGGGAGGGTAGAGAGGGATAATGGCAGGGAAGAAGAAAGGGGCTATTACGATTAGAATGTATAATGTTGGGGAGGGAATGGGGAGGGCTGTGCAACACAGAGAAGACAAGTAGTGATTCCAGAACATCTTACCATGCTGAATGACAGTAATGGGGTTTGTGGTTTATGAGGGGGACTTGGTGAAGGGGGGAGCTTAGTAAACATATTCTTCATGTAATTGTAAATTAATGATAACAGAATAATAAAAAAGAAAAAAAGCACATACAAAATAACTGTTGACACCCAAGATCCTCTATTCAGTTAACAAATACTTATTTAGGCTCAACACAGAGGTAAAGACAGAATAATACAGATTTTCTATGATTTAAGTGATGACATACATAAATAAATAGAATGCTATAATTATAATACAAGGATGAAAGTGGTAAGTTCATTCAAGAAGGGTATAAAAAAACGTGTTACAAGAATTCTGAGGAAGAAGAGATGATTTTTCACAGGAAGGCAAGAAAAGCTACCATAAAAATAAAGGGACGTGTGATTTAAGTCTTCAAAGATGACTAGGATTTATAGGGAAAGGCATTCCAGTGTTTAAATGTAGCATGAGCAAAAGCTGAGTGTAGGTACATTTCTGTAACTACAGGAAAGGACAGTAGAAGTTAAACAGGCCTGTATAGTGGTGGACTGAATAGTGTCCCTCAAAAATTCACTATCTCCTAGAACCTCAGAATGTAATCTTATTTATTGACAGGGTCTTTGCAGATGTAATTAATTAAGGCTCTTAAGGTTAAATCATCCTGAATTTAGGCTGGGCCCTAAATTCAATAACTGCTGTCCTTAAAAGAACTGAAAGACACAAACAGAGGTCATGTAAAGATGGAAGCAGAGATTGGAGTTATGCTGCCTTAAATCAAGCAAAGTCTGGAGTCACCAGAAGCTGGAAGAGGCAAGGAAGGATTCTTCCCTAGAACCTTCAGAAGGAGCACGACTCTGTTAACACCTTGACTTCAGCTTCCAAAACTGTGAGAATATATTTCTGTCTTTCAGTTTATAAATTTGTTACAGCAGCCCTAGAAAACTACTACAGCTTGGTTAAGGACAATTAGTAGAGGCTATTGTGAAATAATAAGAAACCTGTCTCTAGTCCCAGTTCCTGCTAATATCTGGTCTTTGACTTAAAACTCTTGTAAAATTCCGAGTGATAGGAGTTTCTGACAAAGAGCTCCTAAATCTCTTGTAATTTCTTGGGTGATATCAGTCTTTTGTCCTAATGCCTGAGGTGACTCTTGATAGAGTCCTGGATAGGGGCTGGTCACCAAAAAGACCAAGCCATAAGGAGAAACGTGGAGCTTTCAGTCCCACTCTCCATTGTCTGGAGAGGCAAGAGCTGAAAATTAACTAATCATGCCTATATGATGACACCTTGATAGAAATCCCCAAAATATGGGGTTTAGAGAGCTTCCAGACTGGTGAACACATCCACATGTCAGAAGGATTAGCACATGCCACCTGCAGGGACAAAAGCTCTTATGCCTGGGACCCCTTGAGACCTCATCCCAAGTATCTATTTACTCGCTGTCCACCTGTATCCTTCCATATGTCCTTTATTATGGAATAAATCAGTAAATGTAATTGTTTCCCTCAGTTCGTGTGAGCATTTCTAGCAAATTATCAAACCCAAGGAGGGGATCTGGAAACTTCTAATTTATAGATGGTTGGTCAGAAGCACAGGTGACAACCTGGACTTCTGATTGGCATTTGAAGTGGAGGGACAGAAGGATAGTCTTATGGGACCAAGCCCTAAATCTGTGGGTTTGGAGCCAACCCCAGGTAGAGAGTGTCAGAACTGAACTGAATTGTAGGATGCATAGTTAGTATCTGCAGTGCACTGGGAAATTTCTTGGTGTGGGGAAAAACCAACATTTGGAATACAAAAGTAGTAGTGAGTAGACAAAATAAAAGTTTTTCTTTTCACCTATGTACTCAATGCTCCAGCACTTAATTTTATTAGGCGTTGGAAGAGAATAAAAACACTGACTGACCATACATTTCTCCTTTATAGGTATATTCTCATATTACCAGGTAATTGTATTAAAAAGTGGGCAGAAAACAATAAAATGTCATTACTTACAATGTGTGACTCCAGCCAGAGTTTGGTAGAAAGTGGGAGTATCACTATCATCAGTGAGGGTCACATACACACCTCCAGACAGTAGCCAACGAGAGAAGGTAAAAGCATCTTTGTTTAGAAGAAGCCAATTTCTAAACTTTTCATAGTTTACCTTTTCACCCTAAAATTTAAACAAGAAAACGTAGGTTTAGTCAAATTTTAAGGTGTCATGCTTAGAATTTGCACAACTTGAAATTTGCAATTACTTGACATTTACCTTTCTATATACAAAGAAAGGATTATCTAACTAACACTATAAGCTGTGTTTCTATTTGCATAAAATGTATATACGAATTGCAAATTATTTCATCAATTCATTAAAGCAGTGCACTAGTACTAATAATAAATCACATTTTATTTGCTAGGGTATACCCTGAAATCAGTAAACTGAATTTCATTCAATATTTAATGAAGCCAATTTTTCACTTGCCTTATCCCCCTTCTTTAGCATCTCAATCTGTCAGAATTAATTAAATATGCATGGAACAAAAATGTCTTTTTAAATTTCACTGGCAAATTAAAAACAACTATCTAAGGGTCCTCCTCCAGAGTGCCATAACTGAAAACACGTATTCATAAGTCAGCTAGAATTCAAAAAGAAAAAAGCAGATTTCTATTTCTTTGCTTTCTTCCAAGTATTTGTCTTGTTAAATCTCTGAAGAAAAAAAGTATCCATGCTAATAAAGAACATAACACGGTTGTGCAGGAAAATCTCTCGTCCAGAAGACAAGAGAACGTAGGTTGAGTAAGGGCCAAATGTTTCTATCAGAAAAAGAGAGAAGCAGTCAACACGGAAATACAATGCAGAATGACATTGAGAAGCCTAGCAGCTCTAATCCTGATAGAGACATTAAGGGATACAAATAATTAATAATCTAAAAGAGACATGGCAGAAATAATTTCTATATTGTCTGATAACATTCTATCAAGTACAGCAAAATGCTAGCCTAGTAGTTTTAGAACATTTAACAGTGTAATCCAAACAATCAAGACAACACTGACAGTCTTTCTTTTCTGAATGGAAGAATATGGCATTTAGATTTGCTCTGGGGGCATGTGAGGACATTGCTAACATGTTTAGAGATTAGGGATAATACCCATATTCTTTCTTTACCCCATGTTTGGTCTAGAGAGAGGTTTGGCAGTATAAATTCCACAAGCTGATGCAAATTTTTACATATTTTAACATCTCTGACATTGGAATAAGTCTTAAAATCAATAGTATCCTTCAATTGTAACTGGCAGCTTTTTCTTTCTTTATAACACATAAAGGTGCACCTTTTAATTGATGGCATGTTTGATTCAGTGAAACAGTAGTTTCAATGGTTTCGGTGAAGCTATGATATCATAAGACACACCTTTCATGTATCACTAAGGAAGGGAAAAAAGCTATCAATTGTAATAGGCGCTTCTACCACCTTCAATATAGTTAATATTTCTTATTAAACAAAGCCGTAAACACTTCTGTAAACTTTTTATAATTTAATCTGAAAAAAAAACCTTCTATAGGAGATACTATTATCATTCCCATTTTATACATGAGAAAACTGAGGCACCAAAAAGTTGAGTTATCTGTCCAAGATTAAACAGTGGCAGAGTTAGAAACGAACCCAGGTAGTCCAGGCTCTAAAGTCTTTGTGCCTAAGCTATATAACCACACTACCTGGCCAACTTAGTGAGATATAAACTAACCTCTTAAATCTACCTGTCCATTAATCACTCCATATAACTTGTAGCACCAAAATTCCATCTGTCAAATCTAACATTTTATGTTTTTGAGACATGGATGTCTTCTAAAAAGCAGCAAAGGGAAAGTCTCCTTTTATAAGCTGTCATAAAAGTCTAGAAAAGAAATTTCCAATACTGTAAAAGGCACTTAAAAATAGATTCCTGAAGCTGATAGATCTTTGAAGAATATAAAATATGAATTTCCACTTTAAGAATCAACAACCAAAAAAAAAATATTAAGAAAAAAACAATAAAACTCTATGTGGATTTCCTTTATAACTTCACCTGTCAAGGATAATAAAAAGCCTAGGATAGAAAAGGCTGAGACACATTGCATGTCACTTAAATCTGGGTGCGAGGTCCATATCTTTTAGCTAAGATGCTTCTCTTCATGGTTTTGGGGTTTATATAAGAAGTGGAATAAACAACAAAAAGCATTGTTATAGGCCTGAATAGGCCTATTCTAATATAAAGTAAACCAATACTGAAACATGGTAAATTGAAAAGCAAGGGTCTGGATAGAATCATGAGACACATTATTCAGAAATTATAGCAGATAAATACATCAAATAGGTGAACCAGATAAAATTAGCCCATTTTCGGTGTTACTTCTTATCAGTCTCAAATCTAATGATTTAAATACCCATATATGTAAGTATTCCAAAATTGTGGTCTCTCATTTCTTTGATCTTTTTCTGCTAAAAATCTTGTCCCTCATACAACTCTAATCCATCCATTTACTACCATAGTTCTTTGATATTTTTATTGTAACAACTGTTCCCCTTCCCATAAATGCCATTTTAAGCATCTATCTTCCTATCAGAATTTCCTCTTACCATCATACTCCTTATAGTATCCTGACTCCAGTGATTTTTGAACTCCTCAGGACCTACCTACAATCATGTTGCCAAATTTAATGATCATTTCTCAGTGATCAAAGATCAACTCGCTTGACTTTTCTGTTTATTTGAAACAGTTAAACACTCCTTCCTCTGGAAACTTTTTAATCACTTGTCTTCCAGGACAATCATTCTCTTTTGGTTCACCACATGGTCTATTTCTTAGGCTCCTTTGTGATTCCTCTTCATCTTGCCAATCTTTAAACATTGGAATATGAGACTCAGTCTTCCAATCCATCTTCTAAATTCGCTCCTAGGCGATCTCATCCTGAACTCTAAGCCAACACATCTGTTCTCCTCAATTCCAATTTACACATCAAAAAGCATAACTGACAACTCTACTTGAATGTCTGATATTTAAACTTAATTATTGTCTTAAACCTCGATTGATATCAAAACCTCAATCCACCCTCTCCAGTAGTCTTAGCCATCTCAGTTAACAGCAACTACACTCATTTACTGTATCAGGCCAAATATCCTCTTCTTAATCATCTTATCTTTCTGTCACAGTCCATAATCAATACAGGAAAAGATCCTGTCAACTCCACCTTCACAATAAATGCAGAATCTAAAGACTTACCATCATCTCACTGCTACACCATGATCTAAATGACCATCACCTTTTATCTGGATCATTCAAATGACTCAATTGATCCTATTCAGCCCATCCTCTACATAAAAGCCAAAATGATCATATTAAAAACAAAAAAGCCCTCTGTTCAAAACCCTCTAGTGGTTTCCATCTCACTTAGGGTGAAGTCAAAGAATTCACACTGTCCTCTATAGCCATATATAATCTCCCCACTCCATCCCACCTCTCCCCCAACCTCTGTAACTTCATTTTCTATGACTCTCTTGCTCATTCCATTCCAGCTAAATTGGCTTCTTTGTTTTTTCGGACATGTCTAGCATAATCCTGCCTCAGGGCCTTTGCTGTATTCTCTTATGTAAAGTGCCTTATGGAGAGTCCTTCCCCCAGATATTTGTGGTTTTCTCTCTCACTTCCTTTAAATTTTTGGTTCAAGTGTCACTTTATCTGACAAGCCTTTCCTGAGTACCCTGTACAACAAAATGCCCCACCTCCTCCCTATCACCACTTATCTCCCTTATTATACTTTATTTTTCCCTACAGCATTAATTATTATCTAATATATGCACCCGCTATTGTGCCTAAATTTTAGAGAACTAGGTAGCTAACCACATTTAATTCCTATCTATAAAGTAGGAGTGTCTGCATAAACCTTATTAAAATGAAAAAAAATTCTCCCCCTAAATGAGCACAGTATTAACACATACGACATCTTTAAAAAATCCTGTTAATTAGCCTGCAAAGATTAGATCACCTTTTTTTTTCTGATAAGTATACGTTTGTTATTGGACGAAAAAAGAAACCCACAGCCTAGCTTGAATTGATAGCAATGAAATACTATCACAGTAACTTCTACTCAATATGTCAGAACCAAAAATGCAGGAGGCCAATCCTTTGCATCAAACACTTAGAAATTCTGAGTAAATTGTAACACCCTAACCAATGCCAAAAACTGCACAGCTAAGCTCAAATGAAAGAAAGGGAAATTTCCAGGTGCTATCACATAGGAAGTCAAAGGCCAGAGTCTGTGATATAATGCTTTATATGGAATATATATTTCATCATTTAGATGACCAAAATGTATTTCTCAGATATATTTGGTCTAAATTCTCTGTTCCTGAAAATGATTCAGAAATGGGTATCTTGTGTTAATGAGAAGACTTTTGGACCCCATCAAGGGCAGGTGCTGGCTGCCAGGAGGACCAGTATGTGATTAGAGAGGGTGGGAACTTTCAGCCCACAGCCCCCAATCTCCAGGTAGGGGAGAGGCAGGAGGGGCAGCAGAGTGGGTCAAACAATGGTCAGTGACTTGAGTCAATCATGACTATGCAATGAAGGCTTCATAAAAACCCATGAGAACGGCATTTTGCCCCTTTGCCCCTTCGCATTTTCCCTGTCTGAGAGAGCTTCCACATTGGGGAAAAAGAAGCTTCCCCATGCCTCTGAGCCAAGGGCCAAACTCCAGGAGGATAGAAGCTCCTCTATTCCGGACTTTGCCCTATGTATCTATCCATCTTGCTGTTCACTTGTATCCTTTATAGTATTCTTTAGTAAACTGATAAAGGTAAGTGTTGTTCTGAGTTCTGTGAGCCACTCCAGAAAATTAATTGAACCTAAGGAGAAAGTTGTGAGAACCTCCAATCTGTAGGTAGTTGGTCAGAAGGACAGGTAGTAACAGCCTGGGGCTTGTGACTGGCATCTAGGGCAAGTGGTGTTACAGGAAAGGGTGGGGGGTTGCTGTCTTGCAGGACTGAGCCCTTAATTGAGTGCTGTCTCCAGGTATAGAGTGTCAGAATTGGTTGAGTTGAATTCTCAGACACCATACTAGTGTTCAAGAATTGCCTATAGGGGTAGGGGGAAGACCCCCCTACCCCTGCAACACACACACACTGGAATTGGGTCCAG